ATTTCTCGACCTTTTACTGACATAACACCGACTGGAATACTTCCGGGAGCTAATGGAGGGTTTGGAGCTTTTATATAACGACGATCTTCTTGTGGCCACTGTAGAAAAACAAGAAAAATAAATGCAAATTTTTTTGTTTTTCAAATAGTTTACTAAATTTTTGTCGAGATTAAAACCACCAGTTGGAGAATGATAAAGTTCGTTTAAGGAAGCAACTGGACCAGAACCAAATGGACCAGTACGTGGTGGTGGTGATAAAAAATCATCGAAAGAAACAGATCCATAACTTGGAGTTTCAGGAACAAAGAATTTTTTTGGCGATCGACGATCTCCAGGACTCTGAATTTATATTAGAAATAAATAAATATTTTCGTTTTTTCTTTTCTTATTGATAATTATTAAATTACCGAAGCTAAAAATCTTGGTTCATTTTGAAATTTTTTCCAACCATGTCGAGTGAATAACTTTGATGGATCAATAGAAAGACCAAGTGTTGGTGTACCACCAGCAATTTTTGGTCCAATAGGTGATTCAAGACCCACTAAAGTACCAGGATCTCTACCGTCAATACTTTGATCAAATAAAAATCGACTTCGATCACTATCCGATTGATCAATTGATAGAGAATCCGAACCGAACTGAAAATTTTTACATATATGTTAGCATCTACTATAGCATTCGACATTGGACGAATATTCATTCAGGTCAATCTCGGATTTTACTAATATGTTGCATTAAAGCAAAACTCCCACAGTTGCATCGAGATATAAATTAACTGTTTTATTCGAAGTTTGTTTTAGTATAAACGGCAATTGAATTTCATCCGCATTTTTCTGTTACAGTTTTGATTCGATACATCTTTTGCACTGAACTGACTCGTCTAAATAGAATGCAATATCCTTATGAGGAAAATTGCTTGACTGATCCACGCTGTTCTCATTAATATTTTGTGTGCATGTGGCAAAGCTTATTCTAAGACTTCGGGCTAATGCAGCTTCTTTCAATAAATATAAATATTCTCATTCTCATGTTAACAAACAAATCATATGAATAGAACTTGTGTGACTCATGAGAGAGACGCCATAATAAAGAAAAGAAATATTTACTTAGATTGAATTTTCAAGATATTCTACGAACAACTAGATTATCTCTCAGAGCATAATTTCAGATCAACACTCTTTAATTCAATTTTTTCGAAAAAAAAGTTGACTATAGGTCTAAAGCTTAATAAAAAATGCTTTTAGGATTTTCTTAGGCTGATTTATATCTACTTTTAAGAAGTTAGAGCAGTTCTTATATAATTTTGCTTTTTATACAACAATGAATGTGAGAGAAGTTGCGTCGATCTAAATTGTCTTATGATTTTTCTTAGAATAATTTTCTTGACATATATGAAAAATATCAGTGAAAATAATGCGAACTATTGGAGAATCTTCCCTCGTTAGTCTTTAATTCAAGATTAGTCTAGGTCAATCTAAGATTCGTCTAAAATTTTTAGGCGAATCTCAGGTTATACGTATTTTAACTTATCAATCCGAGAATGATCTGAATTAATGTTCGTTCAATTTCAGATCTTCGATTAGATGCAAAAATATATAGTCATTAAAGTTCTTTAAAAAAAATAATAAATAAATTTATTTAATCGAATACCCCTGATGTTCCAGACATTTGTTCACGTTGAAAACTTGATTCATCATCACTCTCAGATTCACTAAGTGTAAATTGTTTTGGTCGTCGATGAAAAGACACTTCTGTTGATATTCTACTGCTCCTATCCGTACTACTAGCACCGTGTCCTTCATCTTCATCATCACTAAAAGTTCCATGAACTTGAGTTAATGAAGGTGGACGTGCTGATTCATGTTGACTTTTATCTTCTTCATCATCACTATCGAGATTCAATGAACGTATACGAGAAGCAAGAGCTTGATTAACTTCTTTTCTAGTACCACGCGGAGATGTACCAGCAAAACATCTTGAAATAATATTAATAAATAAAAATAATAGATTCAATTGATCGATAAAAAACATTATTAATCAAACAACAACGAACACAATAGATTAAGAAAAAACAAAACAAACAAACAAACAAATAAAAATAAACATGCGCTATTTCATTTCAATATATTCCATGGCTACATAAACTTTAGATTTTATCAACAAAAGAATTACAATTATTGCTTAAAGCAATTAAGTATATTAAACTATTTGTATATCAAGATCATTTTAGACAGTTGAAATTTTATAATATGATTTTTCTTTATATATTTAACTATTCAAAATTATTGTACTATTATAAACTTGCTCAACAGTATTTGATAAATTTATTAAATTGTTAAAATAAAATCTATAATTATTAAATGAGTCGACTAACAAAAAATTTATTAAAAAAAATTAATTTAATTCATAGCATAGCATAACTTTTACAACATGTAGAATAAAAAAAACCATAGGATACTATAAAGCATGCCATATTTATCATCCTAAATACTATTACCTGTAGCATTACACTTGAGCATAACATAAAGAACACTGTGTCAATTCAATTTATTCATACAAATGGTTATTCAGATCAAAAACTCTTGAATTTTTGTCTATGAAAAATAATGATCAAGTGTTTGTAGTTACTCATTTATGTTTTGATAAGCAATACGTATTTTGTCTTTCGTTATTTTAGATTGTAATCTCTCAGCCATAATCAAATTTAAAGAAGGCAATTTCGGTAAACTATTTTTCGAGAATATATTCGAAATTTTCATATAACCTATGATGCAAAAGTAATGAGACAAATATCGGACTCTATTCCTTTTCGAAGAAAGGTTGCTAGAAGAAAAGTCTTTTTTTTTACCAACAAATAGAGTTTTTTCTTCTCTTTCCGATCGTGTATAATTTATCTTTGTAACACATTCATAAATGAAACGATATGATAGAAAAGAGAAGTACCGTTAAAAATAATCCGCATTTTTTATAGAAAACGATCGCATAAAATGTCGATCCTTAATCTCTTCGATAAATAGGTCCTGAAAAGATTTTTTTTTTTTTGAGCACTTCATAGGAAATTGCCTTCCCTATTGAACAGTGAGTGTATGATTTATATTTGTCAGACATTAGTAAATGAAATACGACAAGAAAAAAGAGAAACACTCACGTAATAGATTTGTAATTTGTATATGAATTCATCAAAAACATCTTGTAGACGAAAGTTAATTATTATTAACTGCCGTTTTACAAGATGTTTTTAACGAGTACATCTAAAAATTACTACCTAATTGCGCGAGTGTTCTTTTTCTTTTCTTGTCTCACTTCATTTACGAATGTTTGATAAATGTAAATCATACACTGTTCGCTAGAGAAGATCATTTTCTATCGACTGCTAAAAAATATATTCATTCCAGAACCTATTTATCAAAGAGAGATACAGATCGACATTTTGTACAATTTTTCTGAATCTTACAAAAAGTGCACATTTTTTTTCAAGTGTGCTTCTCTTTTTATGATGTCGTTTCATTTATAAACGTGTTACAAACATAAATTATATACGATTCGAAAGAGGAGAAAAAGCTCTATCTGCTGGTTAAAACAAAAACATTTCTTCTAGCACTCTCCTATCGAAGAGAAATAGGGTCCAACATTTGTCCCATTACTTTTGCATCATAGGTTATAACAACATGCAAATTTGATTACAGCTGAGAGATTGCATTCTAGAATAATGGAGGATAAAATAGGTTCTCTATTTATGAACACATGAATGAATGATTAGAGCACTTGATCGCTACGTTTGATCAACAAACAAGAGGTAATTCTTTCAAATGATCAAAATTTTTATTCCACTTGTGATCTTAATTAGTATTTGTATGAATAAATTAGATTTACAGAATGTTCTTAATGTTAGGCTCAAATGTCAATATTCTCAATAATATTCTTCTAGTATGTTTTGGTATTGTTATTGTACAATAGTTTTCTTTATACGTCTATGACTATCACTCTTAATTTCTATTGATTATGTCAAAAATATTGTGCGACGAAAATGGTCACGTTGAATATTATGTTTATCTTGATGAGAAAAACTCGTTAATAATTTAAGACCTGAATATTGCTTTCAGAATGTATGAAAAATTCAAACGACTAACTATGATTCTTGTTCTATTGTGTGGAGAAATTTGACAAATAGCTTGGGATTTTTTGAAAACTTTTGTTGACGATACAATGAGTACATTTTATTCTTTATGATTTGTTGCAATATTATTGTGACAATCCTTTTCATGATAACTTGTCTAAATGATTAACTACACAGGACAATCTCGGCACATGTGTTGAGTTTATAAATTAACGTTAAAACTTCAACTATGTACGAAATATTATTATCGGACTTCGTATGAGAGTTTGTTTGGTTCAAAATTTTCGAACCCAGATTCGAGACCAAGCCGATGGGCTCTACTTCACATACGTTTAGTTTTTCATAATCTCTATTATCTATCATTTATTAGTATACATAGTTGTTGTTTTAGAATACTTTTAGTAAAAAATTCTCTTTCTATGTTGTATTCAAATATATAAGGTTTTTTAAAATAAATACAGAATTGAAATGAATAATTTTTGATATTTTCTAGTTATTTTATCTTTAATTGCATTGACATGAAAATATAGATAAATTGTAAACAACAAAATATTTACAATGAATTAAAACTTTGAATATTAATGAAGAAATTTCACATATAGAAAATAATTAAATTGTTAACAATTTCACAATTCGAGATAACTTTAACAGGCAACTTTCGGGTTTATTTTTTTATCAAATCATTTTGCAAACAAGCGACCTCTCATCAGTAAATTCTTATTGGTTTTTGTTTTGCGTGTTCTTACATTGATATGGTGCAAGTAAGTAAATAACTCTCACATAAATAAAGTGCTTGTCTATATTTCATGAACATAACTTTTTAAATAGAAATGTTTAATTAAAATATATATATAATTGCAATAAAAATCTCGCATGTGTATGCATGGCCACATCATCTACTTTTATTCTTGATTCAACATCAAATGTTACTGTTAATAAAAATAAAAATAGTGCAACTCATCATTTAAATCGTAGCATTGAACGTTCACTTGATGAAGCAAGTCATACAGGTGAACTTAATTTAAATGGTCGTACACTTCGAGAATTTCCTAATTATAAATGTGATCTATCTGATACAGTCATTGCTGGTTTGTAATTTTTATTTTATAAATAAATAAAATATTTTTCTTATATTTCATAGATCTTTCTCGTAATCGTTTTATTGAATTTCCACGTATATTATGTTCATTTTTTTTTCTTGAACGTTTAAATCTTTATCATAATGTAATTAAATCAATACCTGAACAAATTGTTCAAAATCATATGTTACAAACTCTTGATTTAAGGTTTAATTTTAAAGAAAAAGAAATTTAATTAATTCTAATTTTCTTTATAGTCGAAATCAACTTGCTTTTATTCCACCAGCATTATGTAGATTACCTAATTTAGAAGTTTTAATTATTAATAGTAATAAACTTGTTACATTACCCGAAGAAATGTGTGAATTAGAACGAATAATTGANCTCTTTAAAAAAGCAAATATTTGGTATCAGCATAAAAAACTGAGTCTATTTATGTATGTAATAAAATCTGCTGACAACTTTTATTTTCATTCAAACTTTAATTCTGATCTTCCCCACGGTTACTTTGAAAAATCAAGCCAGTCAAAACATCGTTTTCATTACTTATTCATCTATCGTTTTAAACTTATCTAGATCTTTTCAAAACTTAGAGGTGACTTTTCAGAGTCAAATTGATGTTTTGATTAGCTTTATCTTTCGAAATAGTATTGAGGAGATTGGGGTTCAATTTTTAGACGAAAATTAAAGTTCTCGGGAAATTTTGCAACACATATAGATCGACTCAATTTTTAATACTGATTTCAAATACAGCATTTTTCTAATAAGAAACTTGACTATTCTGCTCGAAATCGATTAAACGTTAGTCAGAAAGGACAACTCATGACACTCAGGAACATTATGCGTTTAACTGGAGTGTTTAGTCTACTACTTACATCGAACACAATAGTATAATTTTGTAAGACTTTGAAACATCTGTCGAACAATATATAATTTAAACTGGGTCGCTGCTTTCACAGTTCAGTACTGAGAAAGTTTTGTCATGGATATCATCATACGGTACATATCAGCAAGGAATGTCATCTAAAAGAAAAAGAGAAAGAAAGAGCATTGATTTGATATATTAGTCAAATTAAATGAGCTAAAGAAGGAAGACAAACTTTCTATATAAATAATGGATTGCATAACGCCATAGGAGATGGATAATATCAAATTTTGGGTGAGCTGCGCACAGCCGGAATAAAGTCTAATTGCCTGAATTGGAGCAGCAGTAGACTTCTGACATCTAAATTAATTATTGGGAAAATAGGAGAATCAATTTCAAGACAAGGTTGATTTCATCGCTTAATGATTTCTCTCCCTCCTTTGAAAAAATCTAAAGCTTCATATTAATATGAAATATAACCCTCACGTTAATGGAACACAGCAGATGAAACACTATATGTGTACCAGAATAGACTGAAAAATCTGTATTGTGGAATTTTCCAAAGGTAATCATAAGCAAGAGTAGGAAAATCATCTGTACAAGATTAACAAGAGAAAAGAAAATAATCTATCAAACAAAGTAAATAAAAAAAAAATGAGCGAAATTATATTTGATATATGAAAATGAAGAACGATCCACGTTGAGATTTTTTAAGAATTACATATGCAAATACGCTATTCGTACGATTATTCCTTTGAAATATTACAAGTCATCATCAACAACAAAGAAAATATTGATTGTAGAAAAACGAAAAGGAAGTAGACTAGCAAAAGGTTGAAGGTATTTTATTAATATAAATGCTCTATTGGACTTCTACCTATTCTGCTTTTATCTTTTAAGTAAATTAGACTTCATATTTTTTTCCTGATAGAATCTAACTGTTTGAACAATATCAGTCACACTTTTTTTTTACTACTATATAAAAATATTGACTCTTTTAGCTCACACTTGATATAAACTTAATTATTTGCTTAATTACAGTTTACCTTATGATGGAAAAACTCAAGGATTTTATCTGGTAAACTATACCTATTGAAGAAATTTTCAACAAGATTGAACCTTGAAAAAGTACTTTCCCAAAAGCGAATTTCGAAAGATCCTATCTTATGCCAGCACGATTCTTTTTTGTTTTTCAATCATCTCGTTTCCTCCAAGAATAATTTGTACTATTTCTAATCGTTTGTTTTTTTGATTCTCATTCAATGACAAGAGGATCTTTCGCTTCTATATTGGTACGGATTCACGTCGTTCACAACGCCGAAACTCAGTTTTTTGAGAAACCAAAGTATGTTCAGGAAAAACTTTACATAGGAATTTTGTAGCTAAAAGATTTTTCTACAGAATGCACTATTTAGTTTGCAATAACACTGTTTGAATTTATAGGATTTGGAAACGGAAATGCACCCAGTGTAAATCTTTGTCCTTTTATGTGTAACGCTGATTTTCTAATAATAACTCGGCGAAATTCAGATCTATAGAACTGACTTTTTCAGAGTATTTATAGCAGTTCAATAAATGAAATGTTTCAATTATGAGATATAAGCGTTTTAATTTTGCAAAGTCATGTCGCTAATGAATTTATATTGTTGTGATCATTTTCTCTGTTTAATAGATGAAACATTTGGTTATCTTGTATTTTTAATATTAAATAAATAAAATTCGTATGTAAATTTTTAGGTGTGGCGATTTAAATGTTTCACATCAAAGTATTGATTTAGCAAATCCGAAATCCAATACAAAAACAGCTGGTTTTACACAAGAAGAACGTGATGATTTTGCAAAAATTCTTGCTGAAGGTTTTATTGATTCATGTATGTTAAGATTCTTTTTAAATATTTTCAATCAGAACGAATAATTTTAATAATTTATTAAAAATAAAAATTTCCCCATTATTTATGTAAAACATTTAAAAAGAAAAAAAAATAATAACTTTTTTAATCATTGTAAAATGATTAGATATTTAAAAAAAAAAAAATCATTAAAAAACTATATTTTGATTCTAATAAAATAAATCTGAACAACCATTTTGTTTTGACTTCAGGGAATGTATCTAACATTTTTGTCGTTATACCTCTTCATATGCATATTCTCACTTAATGAACTAGAAAATTAATATATTAAAGTTATTATCCTCTTGAGAATATAACTTTCTTCTTCTTTTTCTTTTATATAATTTAGTTCGTTATCTTTATCCTGACGAACATAATGCTTACACTTATTGGTCGTATTTTCGTAATGCTCGTAGTCGTAATATTGGTTGGCGTTTAGATTATTTTATTATCTCATCTCGTTTACAAGAGAATTTATGTGATGTTATCCATCAAACAGGTGTTTATGGATCAGATCATTGTCCAATTGTTTTATTAGTATCTGTATAATTATAATAACAATCAATAATGCTTCGTTTTTTTTTTTGCTTCTTTGTCTTTATTCCATGTACTATTCAGCGATTAAAAAAGAAAAAAGTATTTTGTTTTTATTATTTCAGATGGTTTTTAATTAACACGCAATAATGTTTACTTTTATGGACAATAAATATCATCATAATAAAAATTTATTTCAGTTGATTAAAATATTGTCGATCATTAAACTACGGAAAAAATATTATTGTTGTTCAAATTGCATGCTTCATTCAATACATCCGGAAACATTTTATAACGACAATAATAATGAAGAAGGAGAGGAAAAAAACCAAGGTACTGTTATACATACAAATTGATTCATTCAATTATTGAAAAGCATTAGTATTTGTTAGACTAGACAATTTATATCGAGTTTACGTTCATTTTCCTTGTTTTCTTATAGAATTATACTTAAAAAAAATCGAGTTATTGAAAGAAAGAAAAAAGAGACAAACACGAAAAATCTATTAGCAACTTTGATAATGATTATTATGCTGTTAATGTTCGAATAAAAAAAACATAAAGCATTAAAGCATTGATATTAAGTATAATTAATACTATTATTATAACCAGTTGACGATTCTAAATAGATATCTATTCTCTTTAATTTTTGTTCTCTACTCTTTCTCTAGCTTCTCTGGAGCTTCTTTTACAACAAATGTCACAATCCGTGCTCATCGTTGGTTAGTCGCTTCTTCTCTCTGGTGTTCTCTCGTCAGTATTACTATTGCTCCTATACTACCCGTCATTTCCCTTTTCTTCGTGTGTTGTGCTCGTCTTGTGTTAGTTGGCGTCATTCACACTACATTCTAGAAGCATCATCATTGCCGTTAAAAAGACCACCGGGCAAATGAATGTATTCGGAAAAAAAATACGAAGAAGAAGAAGAAGAAGAAAAACATAGTTTTCAATATGAAATAGATCACTATATTCATTTATCTTTTACTTTTAATCAATATATATAAGAAAAACAGACCCTATTGTATTGATAGTAAAAAATTTTTTCTTTTCTACTTCAGGTTTCATCTATTGGGAAATATCGTTATTTTGGTGACGTTGATCAAGACGTACCATTTACACTTCAATATTTTATATAAGTAAGTAAAATTAATTGAAGTGGAAAATAAAATGTTTAAATATGAGTTGTATATTTCTTATAAATGTTAACCCTTTTGATTTATTATTCTTTTTTTTTTTTGTGTTTTGACTATTTTGTCATCTGGGAAATCGAAGTACTCAATCATTGAGATTGACCTTCTTATTATATTTCCTCTGTTTAGTTGTCTATCGTAACTAACAAGAGTTTTTCTGTATATATCATTAAACAAAAAAAAAGAAACAATATTCATTGGTTGTCGGCTTTTTTTCACCGATTTTTAATCTGGAGCTAAAAAAAAAAGAAGAAAAAAAAATTTGCTTCTCTATTTTTGGTTTACATTCTTTCTTATTTTTTTCTTTACATGATGATAAATAATATGCAACATATAAGACAACCTTGCGAATGCTTTGAAATTCCCTAATCACGGTATAGAAACGAGTCTCTTATGAATAGTATATGCATGCATACATTTATTGATTGGAGTCTTGACGTCAATAGAATAGATAATCGCTTCTTTTTCGTATCAATGATTATATTCTTTTTTTCCTCTTCATCTATCAACTTTCTCATCGTTTATTTCCACCTGAAAAAAGAGATTTCATTTTTCTTTTAGCATTCGTTTCCTCTTCTTTGAAGTGAATTCTAGAGTGCAAAATCTATATTAACCATTTGTATTCTTATAGAATTAGGTAAGAATCTTATTTTAGTATTATCATTTGTTTGTTTACATATCAGATATCTGGAGTTGCTAACCTTAACAGTACATATGGAAAAACAAATCGACTATAGGAGATTTGATATTAACATCATCATCGTCAACCAAGCGTAGAGAATAAAAGAAATGATGACAGCAAGTAATAGATTTCTAATAGTTGTGTGTTGAGTGAAGTGTATTATGTTGATATTTCTCTTCTTTCCTTGAGAAAGTCGAAATCTGTTACGAGTTAATCAGATTAGTAATATGACAAGTCATTAATATAGCGAGAAAATGATACGGAAACGAAGAAAAATGAAGTTTTGTATATAATGTCTTTGTCGATCTCTATTGAGTGACAGACTTATGTCATCTTATCTTTTAATGGTTACATATTGATCTTTTGTCATTACCAAACCATTCACTTTGCTTCCACTACTTTCTTCTTTTCTTCTTTTTTGTATTTCATCTTTGTTAGACTTTCATTTATGTTTGTTTGACCAACAGTAAAAAAAAAAAGCTCGTCATAAAACAAAAACGATTAAACAAAATGTTTGTATATTTATGAATTTATGGATGTATAATGAGACATAGGTTTTGGAATAGTACTGATAATCATATAAAATAGAACGAGAAAAGAAAGAAGATTAACTGTCATTGACTGTTGTCAATGCTATCCGAAAGATAGAGAACAAATATATTTATGCAAATCATGAAGAGTGTTAATATAAGATGAACGCATGTATATGCATAAAAGGATGACTGATGAAACAGCAAATTTCTTCATCTATTTGAAAAGAGAGAAAAAAAGTAGGCGGAGAATTGTTATCGTGCTTTGTAATTTCCATTATTTTGTGTGTATATATATATATATATACGTCATTCTCTATTTTTTTTTGATCGGAGTTTTATTCTAACTAATCCATTATTAAAAACTATATCTTAAATCTAAGCAATATTATTATTTATTTTCTTTGTCTTTTATTCATCAAAGGCGCACATGTTTTCAACTGTTGTTGATGGGCTGTACGAGCTCGAAGCATGAATTATCGAAAGCTGATCTTGAATTTTTAAAATTACACACATCATATTCGGAAAAAAAAATTAAAACTTGGTACAAAGGTTTTATGGTATATATATATATATATCTGGATATCTAATTTATTTTATTTCTTTTGAATTCTTATTTCTTTATTACAGAGAGATTGTCCCAACGGTGAATTGACACGCGATTCATTCATTCAAATCTATAAGCAATTTTTTCCCAAAGGGCGTGCAGAAAATTTTTGCGAACATGTCTTTCGAGCTTTTGACACTGGTAAATTAGAAATAAAAGAAAAAAAAAGATATGATTATTATCCTATTCAATTTAATAATTTAGATAAAAGCGGAAAAATTGATTTTAAAGAATTTTTACAAGCAATTAACATTACATCACAAGGAACACCTGATAAAAAGTTAGAAATGGCATTTCGTATGTATGATTGTAATGGTGATGGTTCAATTGATGAAAACGAAATGAGACGTATTATTAGTGTAAGTTTACACAAGATACTAAAAAAATAATATGTTATGTATATTTTTTTTTCTTTAGGCAATTTATGAATTAATTGGTGATGAAATCGATAAAAAAGAACGACAAATAGAAGCAGAAGAACGTGCCATGAATATATTTACAATGATGGATAAAAATTCTGATGGTATATTAAGTCGAGAAGAATTCGTTGATGGTTGTTTAAATGACGAACAACTTTATCAATTATTAACACAATCGAGTCGTGTTGGCGAAGATCGAGAATCGGAGTCATCATTAGAAGATTAATGTTTCTTTATTTTTTCTTTTCTTTTCTTTTTTTTTTCAATAAAACAACACAGAAATGACAATCATTAATTTTCGAAAATAACACAAAAATTTAATTGGTTTCGTTTTTGTTTTACTTATTTGTCTTGTGTATTTGTATCATCATAATTAACATTCCTTTTCTTTTTCTTTTATTAATTATAATAATAATTATATTAATCATATAGAGATCACTCATTCAATGAAATTATTGTTTTTATGATTATAGATCAAACAATGTCTGATAGTTTATCAGCCGCTGCTGCTGCAGCCGAAGACAATGTTTCTGATGATGAAAAAGAAGAAGAACAAATAACTAATACTATTCAAAAAAAAGAAGATGCAAAGGTGGAAAAAGAACTTGATCGTGTTACAGATCGTGTTGATGAAGAAGATCTTGGTTCAGAAAATATAGGAAATGTATATTATTAAAATAATAATATTTCACGATAATTATTTTTCTTCTTTGTTTAAAGGCATTAACAACTATTAATGATAAACGACATCGTGATGAATCAAAACGTAAAGCTGAACAAGCAGTATTGGCTAATGTTAAAATTCGAAAAGAAGATGTTGAACTTATTATCCAAGAACTTGAATTACCAAGATCAAAAGCAGAAAAAATCTTACGTCAACATCGTGGAGATGTCGTAGCTACATTGAAAGCACTTGTCAACGCTTAAAAAACATTATCGTTTTTCATTGATTGGATGCTGTTTTTCTATTATAATCATTAAACATGCATCTCTCGAAATAATAAATATCTTTAAAGATTACGAAATATATATAATCTTAAAACATGAAAAATTAATTATATTGATAAAGTAAAAATGCTATAGTTAATTTTGTAGATCAGTAACAGTTGTTGGCAAGATAAAGTTCTTTGTGATATAATATAAAAATATTTCACTCCATTAAACATAAGATGAGTAAAAAATTTTGTTGCCTTGAAGGGCTCTTTGCGTCATTCACAATGACAGAAACGCGGAGAAAAAAAAGGTCTCTGTTTTTTTTCTTCTTAGAAAATAGAAATAAGTCATAACGCAAATAGCTGCTTTGTGAATAATTTTCATTATATACTACGCATAGCTATTCCCACATAAAATAAAATGATTGGAATGCCTACGATATTCAATCAATTCGCTTGACTATTTTGTTTCCAATCAAGTTTAAACATATATAGAATGAATGAAAGTGCATACTTAAATAGACGATTGAGCGCTAAATTCGTTGAACCACTATTGAATTTAGCTGAATTAGGGTCATTTATTTTTTTTATTATTATAAAGTGTTTTATTTGAATGAATTGTCCTAATTGGTCTCGAACACTTATATACGATACACGTTTTCTAGCATATATTATAAACAGAAATTAATTCAAAGCTTTGGAAAAAAGTTTATAATAGAAGGAATACAAAAAAAAAAAAAAAAGAAAAGATCATATCAAAAGTGAATAAGTAGAAATTGTAGTGTTCTCTAGTTGCTTTGATTGATTTGATGAATTATAATTGACAAATGAAAAAAGTTTGCTAAAGAAGATAAGGAAGTATTGATAGAATTTAATCAAGCACGTACACTAGGTCTTCCTTTTGGTAATGATTAAATACAAAATTTTCTCATATCATATTGACATGTTTTGTTGACAATGGTTTTATTCATTATGTTGTAAGCTATTAATTCTTGTTCTCATGTTGGTCAATGTTTTAGAGTTGTTTCACTAAACTATTATTCTAAAGAAAGAAGTAAGAATCTTATGCGACGATCACTAGTAGAACATTCATAAGAACGATATATCATTTGTTGAGAGCGTCCATAGAAACTATTGATTTTTTTCTCTCGAAGAATTTGAAAGAAGACAATAGATTGTTGACATTGAATAGAGACGCGCCTAGGTACAATGTATTGAATAATAAAAACACAAGTTTATAACAGAAGAAAAAGTCGACAATTATCGATGGATTTGTTTCAATATTAAATATGTTTGTCGGCATTTCTACTTTAGTTAATTATCAACGATTACTTTAAAAGACATATTAGAACATTCATGCGTTAATATCCATTATTTATTTTCGAAAATTACAAAAAATATTTAGAATGTTTATGACTCACAAATCATCAACATAAAAGTGATTATTTTTAGTCTTTTAATTATTTGCTGAAGATTGTAATGAACAACAATGTGTAGCATACCTCCAAAGATTCTTCTTTGCGATGCTCCTCTTACAATTATGACGCTGTTAGATAGGAAACCCTTAAGAAGTCAGTCATGCATGATTATTTCCGAAACTTATTTTAGTGAATATTGCGTGCGTAATGGTTTGGAGTGTAATTAGCAATTAAGCAAAAATAGAAGATTAACTTTACCGATTCTGCTCAGACTTCAATCTTATGTATAATTAATCAGTCAGACTTTGCTATTTTACTTGCCAAAATAGCACAAACTTACCGCGCATAATTACTTCTTCTGATGATATAGTTCTGGTCAGATGTTCGTCTTCCGAGAAATTTTCAATTGGACAAGTAACTTGAACCATTTTTCTACTGTGCGACATACGATAACACTCTTAAGAGGTGACAAAAGTGTAAGCTTTCTAAACTAAAAAGATCCTGGCTATTTTAAAAAAGATAAAATATACTTGTTTTTCAGAACTGGATTTTGAGAAAAAAAGAAACATCCATTCATGAAACTAACGCTGGGGAATATATCATCGGCAAGTCTTCTATAAATGTAGAGTAGGGTAGATATAAAGAACATAGAGCTGAATATTTAGAGTAAGTGAGAACAGTATCTATTGAAATAGTGAAAACAATATGTCTTCTACTCTGTATTAAGCACACATTTTATAATCAAATTGTTTGTTTGTATAAAAAAAGTTAGATCCATATCTTTCCCCGTAAAAATTGATTCGTCTTTTCAACTACTAGGATATTTAAAAAATCCGTCAGATTTGGCGCTTATGCTGTTGAAGAAGATACTTCATGAGAATAGATAAGGTATCAATAGATTATCTGATAAAATCTGCTTTAGGTTTTATTGTCAAAAGCTGATGAATTCTCGAATCTTCTAGTTGTTTTCATACTCCATATTTCGCTGTATTTGAAGTTATCCAATAAGTGAATCTTAAAGAATCGGACTCGCATATTGTCGACATAAGACCATTCCAAATCCAGATTTTGATATAATTTGACTAGATTTACTATGAAATCCTTCATAATTCAATTTTTTTCTCAGCGAGAGATCCGAGCAATTCTGATAAGAAGTGATAGTTTTTTTTCCTGGTGTAATCTGGTTCGGAATCAGATCGCAAAGATTGCGACCAAGTTTAAATGAAATCGAACTGGTGTCTCTAAAGAAAACTTCGGTTTCAAGGTCAATCCAATATTCGATCCGATCTTTTCTAATTGAATTCGCAAGCAGGTTTAAATCGCTTCGGTAGCTATCCAAAAAAACAAGAAGTTTATTATAAAAAGCAAAAACATACATAAAAAATCACTCGTTTGTAGCACCATGATGAATATTGTTCGTAATATTATGCCATCAGTTGCAACATGCCGTGCTGCTTTATCGTGACCACTAGTGCTTTGAAATGTTATGTACCAACAATCAGATGCTATTCTCAGAGAACCTGATCGTAAACATATTTTATGTGAAAAAAAACAAAATATTTCAATCGAAAATGATCAAATAAGGCAATGGTTAAGACTTTAGCAACAAAAGAATGAATTGAGAGAAAATCCATTGTTCTAATTGACTTCATCAACTTATAGGAACTGAGGAGCTGACTTGCAAATAACCCGACCCAATTCATGGACCTACTATCTAAAAGATGTTCTATCTTTACCCATCCATCTGGTTATGGATCAGATCAATGTGGTAAGTGTCTGTGTATGGAAACACGAAAGTTAAAATGATGAAAGCATTCCGTAAATGTTATCGTCGTGGACCTATAGTTGGTAGCCATTTCCTCAATCATGAAATCTTTGATATAGTTCATAGGCATGAAAAAAAATTAGATATAATAGCACAGTATCTGATATTGATGGTAGCTGTCGACAATTAGATTCATACGTATACAAACGTTTCGCATGGAGCATAAAATACTGAAAGCATCAAGATGGTCAAGAATTCTGTTGACGAGTTCTACCAGTAGTGTAACAAAAGTTGGAATCGTTTTGGTCGACATGAGTGAAAATTTTTTCAGATGTTTGGGTTGTTGAAATATATGTCGAATATATGATGTGTTTAGTGGAATTTGTTTTTTTCGTTTATGTGAGCTTGTAATCGTTTTGTGTCGTATGTTTCAAATGCATGTACAATTTCTTATATGGAGAAAGAAATGCATGGTGAAAGTATCATGATGGCAAATATAGTTAACTTTGCATTTTGTTGAATTTGATTTGTCACATGGTAAAATATGGATATTTATAATCTTAGAATTTCTTTTTCGTTTTCCTTAGGCGAAGCTTGACTGAAATTTGACGGAACAGGTGGTCGCATAAGATATTTAACATTTACTTATTGTTCCAAATGCAGTCCATTATCTAATGATCAATTAAGTCGAAATAATCGAATCGTATCTAAAGCAAGCAATTGTAAACAACATCGCGTCCGACATTTTATCATTATACTTTTTCAGACATATATGTAAATGCCACGTCCTTGTCCATTATCTACTTTATCATTATCTCGTAATGTGAAAGTGTCTGAAGTCTATGATGCTATGTACTGTGCAATGATACATATGATCAAAAGTTCTGATAAAGTTCATCTAATACTATCGAGTAGTCTACGGAAGAATGGCTCTGAGAACTTTTTCATCGACATTATATTTTGTTTTAGCTGCATGTTTTTTAGAACTCTTTCTCTATTATTGTTAAGACTCTAACAAAGGTTTGGCGCTTCGTCATACATCAATCAATAGCTATGGTTGATTATTGTGCAACGCTACAAAGCGCGATACTTAAAAACATCTGATTGACAAGCTTGATCGTTGTTAATATTGCATGGATTTTTGAGTGGACGAAAATAATCTATAGGTTTTCAAATCTTATTGATGCGTTTTGCTTTCATTAAATGAAAGATATTCATCTACTTTTGTTTAACTTCTCACAAATTTACTTTTTTTAAATCTTTTGTTTATCTTCAACTTAGATCGAAACATGCAGCACATAACCAAGACAAATTGGACAGCTTCGCGCGAATGTGCGCACACCTATACGAATATCTGGTAGAACTTTCCAAAACGTGTGCTATGTCATTCCAATCGTTGAGGAATGTTGCAAAAGCATAAAAGAGATTGATTAGTCTTTGCAAAGTTCGTTGGTAGAGCGAAAGGAGTAAGCGTGCAAGATGCGTAAATGAGAGTCGCATCGTGTATTGTCCCGTCAGTCTCTCGTACTCAAACAACTGTATAGAATGCGCTAGGGTACCTAATGGTATTCTATAACTAAAATTAATTGGATGAGCATGACTGCATTGATAGTCTAATGTCAGTTTGTGAATCACGGGTTTATAGCATATTTCACATAATTTATAGTGTGAAAACGGTACAAGCACAGTCTATTTACGAATAGTTTAAAGATTGATTCGAATAGTCATAATGCATAGTAAATGAATTATTTACTAACTGTTGATGCAATTGTATAAAATATCGACTGTATTTCTGCGTCCTAATAAATGCTG